TGAAGAGGTCGGCCGGAGGACCGTGTCTGTAAAAAATCAAACAAATAAATCAATATTTAAGATTCTCCTGTTGAAGATATGATTTCTTCAGTTTTTCTTTACAAGCTGAGGGGATACAAGAATGGATTAATTGGCTTTAGGTTTCTTTTTCATCTAATTACATTAGTTTAAGTACATTATCTGATAGGATATGTGTGTGTGTGTGTGTGTGTTTATTTGAGAACTACTCAAAAAAGACTAAAACATGCTTCATGTATAAAAATGGGACTTTTAATTTTTTATTATAAAAAACAGAACTTATAATGCCTAAGTGTGTCAATATTTAATACCTAAAAGTACCCCACAGACGTCCAACTTGGCTCTGATACCACCTGTTACATACTTGGTCATAATTTTAACAAACTATGCGACCTAGCAAACTTCGTTCTTGAAATTGCTAGGTAGCCTATTCTTGATGCTTAGCGTTGTATAGAAAACGTAAGCACTAAGGACTCACGAAAGAACTCAAACTCCCATGAAGATAGAAAGAACTTTGTATTGATCTCTCAAAGTTCTTACTTGGCTGATGGCTCTCACTTATTTGAGTGAGTGAAATGAATGAGGAAGATGGATATTTATATTTTACCACATCTTCAACGAATACAACGATCTACTTGATTTAACGATTACAAATGAGTATTTAGAATACTCTACACATATTTATAATATTCCACAACTTGCAACAAGTACCACACGTTTCTAGAGAATTCTTGACGTCTCCCGGCTCTTGTGACTTGTGAGCACCTTTGGATGATTATGGGAAGCTTCAGATAGTTTTGGGCTTGTTCGAGTTTCAAACCTCTACAGATTTCAGGCTAAAATAGAGCAGTGAGTCACACACACTATAGAAGGCCACCAAACAGGCTTTGTAGCGATCGATAGTACCATCCCGCTTTCGCTTAATACGAAAAACCCACTTGCACCGAATAGGACGATGACCCGGACGCGGGACCAACTCCCAAGTGGCATTAGCAATGAGGGCAGCATACTCAGCGTCCATGGCAGCCCTCCAACGGGAATCCTTAGCAGCTTCTTGAAAAGTCCTTGGCTCAACCTGAATATCACTAGAAGAAACAGAGGTGAGTGTGTTGACAAGGTTATCATTGAAATAGCAAGAGTTTAACTGCCGCTCACGGACTGGACGAGACACAACAGACGGTTGAGAGATAGACGAAGACAACGGGAAAGAAGAAGAGGACACTGGCGAAGGACAAGCAGATTGCAGAGGAGTATTAAAAGAAGGTAAGGAGCGAGGTTGGGAGGCAGGAAGTGAGGAGGTACTGGGCATGGTAGGGCAAGGAGTGGGTGATACAGACACTAGAGGACTAGGTTGCGATGTAGAAGGATATGGGTAAACAGTAGGTTCAAATTTCACATGGCGGAAGGTATAAATTTTTCCGGTGGATAACTCATAACACCGAAAAACGGATTGAGAGCTAGAGTAACCAAGGAAGACACACGGAGATGAACGAGGACTTAATTTGACGCTGTGATATGGGCAGAGCCATGGGTAGCAAAGACAACCAAATGGTTTAAGTTTAGTATAATCAGGGGCTTTGTGAAAGAGGGCTTCATATGGAGTGATATGCTGGAGCACTGGTCTGGGAAGACGGTTAATAAGATAAACCGCGGTGGAAAAGGCATAGGTCCAGAAGGACATGGGTAAGCCGGCAGTATGGAGGAGAGATAAACCTGTTTCAACAATATGACGATGACGGCGTTCTGCCGTGCCATTGTGCTCGGGCGTATGTGGTGGAATAGTAAAATGAGATATACCAAATGAATTAAAGAGTGGAATTAACTTGATAAACTCACCACCGTTATCAGAAAATATTATTTTGATGGATGATTGAAAGTAATTTTCCACCAGTCGTTTATATTGAGGAAAGAGGTGAAACACAACAGATTTATGCTTCATGGGATACCACCATATGTACTTGGTATAGTGATCAACCAAAACAAGATAATAATGATAACCATCAACAGAACAGGTAGATGTGCTCCAAACATCCGTATAAATTAATTCAAGAGGAGTGTGACTAGTCAATGTATTAAAAAAGAATGGAAGTTTATGACTCTTATTGATATTACAGGACTCACAACTAAACTGAGATAAAAGGGGAAAACAAAGAGAAAGATGGACACTTCCTAAGAATAGTACCCATGGTTTTATTGTTTGGATGACCCAGACGATGATGCAAATCAAACACAGATGCCACACCCAAGGAAGTGCTATGAATGGCAGGAGATTGGAGTAGTGCTGGAGTTCGCGGTATTGAATAGAGATCATTTTGGTTGACCCCCCGAAGTAGAGTTCTCCCCGTTTTGACATCCTTCACAAGAAAATGAGTAGAGAAAAATTTGACAGAAACATGGTTAGTTTTGCAGAGTTGGGAGACCGAAACAAGGTTTGTATTTAACTTAGGGACACATAAGACATTGGATAGTAGAAGAGGATGTTTAGAAGTGGGTGACAAAGAGTGTCCAGTGAGAGATGGCTAAAGTCTTACCATTAGCAAGACGAACCTCATCAGGACCACCATATTCCATGAACGAGTTGAGAGTAGATAGATCAGTAACTGCATGGTGTGAGGCACCACTATCAACAAGCCATTGTTGATCTGCGGTACCAGGGGATACTGTAACATTCGCAGTGGGAGTAGAACCACTAGAAGGCCCAAAGTGACAATTGTTATCTTTCAAGAAACGCTGAAGTTTTCTGCAGAAACGAGTGTCATGACCGGGGTAGTCACAAAACCGACAATACCGATTAGACCTACCACCGTTGGACTGCCCTGAGAGAAATCGACCACCTCGCCCGCGACTGGCATGCCCACCATGTGCATGACCATGAGATGAAGACCCACCAGGGTAGCGATTACCACCAGTATGCATGCGCATGGTATTGGCAGTGGGAACAAGGACTTCTGCGGCTGCATTGCGACTTGCAATTTCACTCTCACAATCCGTGAGAACATCAGACAATTCATCAAGGGGGATACCATCGGACCGGACGCGTAGGGATTGATAAATAGACGAATAGTCATCGCCAAGTTAGGACATAATATAAATGACAAGGTCATCGTCAGTAACCGGACTGCCGGCCAAAGCAAGATCTGCTGCAATTTTGGTCATGTCTGCAATATAAGTATCAATACTCCGATTACCACGAGGGTTCATGGCCAGTTTAGCCTTGAGGGAGATGACGCGACCTCAAGACATTCCGGCGAGGCTGGTGTTGAGACGGGACCAAGCATCACATGACGTATCGACCAGAGAGATGAGAGGCTGTACAGCGTCAGTGCAACTCCCAAGGATCGCACCTAGCAAGGTAGCATCCTGCCTATACCATAGAGTATAGTCAGGGTTTGGTTTTTTGTGCTCCGCATCCAAAAATGGGGAAGGAGCCTTGACAGAACCATCGACATACCCTAGAAGATCAAGACCAATTAGGGCGGTTTGAACCTGACGACGCCAGACGAGAAAATTTGTCTTCGTCAATTTGATGGGAAAGTGTTTTGACGCAGCAAGTTTGATCAGTTCCGTGGAGGGTGATGAGGACGACATACTGGTAGGGTTTTGCCCAAGGAGAAGATTAGAGAAAAAAAATCTCGGTTAGAGAGGAGGCTCTGATACCATATAGAAGCTTAAGGCTTGATGATCTTATTTATGATATTACAAGGTATTTATAATAAAGTATACAACAAGAAGAACACCCATACTCCTACCCGTGAGGCTAAAAACTAGGAAATAGTTATACACATGCTTATCACAACAGACGGATTTACACAAGAATAATTCAAAGGAAATAGCTTAAGAATTATCCTTAATACACACTAGTGTTGAAAATTGTGTTTGGTTTTAGTTATGTGAATAGTCATTGACAATATAAAGTAATTCCACATGCAATAGTTTCGTGCAACCATTATGTTTGGTCCCATGGAATAGTTTTAAAGAAAATGCTATGTATACCCCGGATTTGTACACCGGGTGTACACCAACATACCCTCTCCCTATATAACCCTTTCCCCCACTCTTTCTCACTGTGTTCATTTCTTTCTCTATTTTCAAATCTCTATTTTGATAGTTCCAAATGTATTGACAATGTATAAGTAACCCTAATATCCGCGAGCCCATCTACAAATATCACGGAGTATAATACAAGCCCAAACAATACGCTAACATAATTCCCTAAAAAACAGCTAACATAATTTTTACTCTTTTCGTTTGAAATTAGTGGTCCATTTTCCCGTATCCGTTTATTGGAAATTAATTATCCCCTTAATAATACTCTACATTCAGTAAAAACAAAGTAAGAAGAATCACTAAAAATATCCCAAGAATAAGGTGTTAGCATTGTTGAATGAATGAGTGACAAATCAACCATGCTAGAGGTATCCCATGAAATGTAGCCCACAATGTACATCAAAACTATGCATTAACTTATCGATGGTTTACACTGACGCAAAATAAAAGTCCGATTAATAAATTTTGCACTAGCATTTTGTGCCTGTGTGAAACATCACCTAACATCACACTGACACAAAATAAAAATGCATACATGCAATGTACAATTCGGGTACAAGTAGCTTAATTCGTGACAAATTCATGAATGACGTATTTGACATATTAAACTCTATTTCTTTAAAATGAGAGTTTTTAGAAAGTGGACAATCAAATCCGAATGAAAGGAGTAATAAACAATTTAGGCTGTTGAGACAGAAAACTAGCTCTTCAATCTTCATAACTTCTAGTCCAGGAACATAGAAGGACAAGATTAATATCTATACATCCAGTAAGCTTCTGCCCGAGTTTTGTAGAAATCTACTGAAAAGAGACCAAAAAGTGATAACTCTTTTCATTCACAGTGAATACTTACATACATACATACATACATAATATATATATATATATATATATATATATATATATATATATATATATATATGATTTGTTTCCATATTTACGAATGCCTAAGCTCTATTTTGATGTATCCAGGTCATCCATGACAATCCATGTATGTCATCACAACATTCTTTGTTTCGTTCTTTGTTACCAAGGACCTGTCTGTGTACGTCTTAGGCGTTGGCGTTTAGCTCCACTCTGAAGTTTCATAATCTCAAGAGCCTGCATATTTATAATACATTTTGAACAGATTTAGACCAAACTTTCTTCCCAGATTGGATATATTTGATAATGCAGACTGACGCATTTTTTTCACTCCAACACAGGTTTCAAATGAATGATGAGATATTAAGAACCAATAAGTTTTTATAACTATCAATTTGACCTTCAAAAAGAAATATCTCAACGGCCTATCTACTACCGAGTATATAATAAGTTGATTCTTTTAATCCAATTATGACCTTACAATTGATGCCTATCTACTACCGAGTATGTAACTTTTTTTTGAAGCTTCCTTCAGAAAGCTACTCCGCGATAAAGAGTTGCTGTGTTTTTTTTTGAGGAAGAGAGTTGGAGCATGTTCTCTTGGAGGAAGAGTTGGAGCATGTTAAATTGATAACCTTGGGAGCAACACAACAATACAATTAGTTTCATGTGCTAATCACTTCGAAACCCGCCCAACTAACATATCCAAACAGAAAATGAAAAGAAAGCCTGGTGTGGGATTTTGGGTTTAGTTTAACTTTACAGAGTAACTCGGAAGGTAAACCTATCACCAAGTATTAGGCATAGTTTCGCATCCCATCTCCCCCATCGGGCTCATCAAGTAAATCCACAAAAAATATGACAAAAATTTGATGATACTCGGTATAAAATAACAGCAAAATAAGCATTAAGAGGGACAACTTAGTGTACCTGGCTCTTCTGAACTTCCAAAAATTCTGCCTGCAGCACAAAATAATGTACATGTTCATGTTATTTAAGGAATATGAACGTGTCCCACGCACAAGAGAATCAAACTGTACATTCAACACTGACCTGTTTCTTACGCAGTTCTTTGTTTTCTTCTTTTAATTTTGCAACTTCTTGTTCTAAATCTGTAGTATACGCCTGTAAAAGTTAATAAGACACACTGGTTAGTGGTTTACAAAAATGCATCAAAGATCCAACAGAAACACTCTATCTGTGTTTTTAGAGGGGTAAGGCTAAGTGCATCTGTTAGAAAATTACGATGATGAATGATGAAGCTGCCATACAACCAATAATGCTCCCCTAATCCCCTGTCCCTAAATAAATAACCATTTGGACTGGGCACAAACATAGAGGAAATAACAACTGTGTGGTTTATATTTATTTAGATGGAGAAACAAAATGAACCAAAAAATGCTTTCTTTAAAAAGAAAATAAGACATAACTTCAGGCCGGACAAAAAATTATGAGTAGATTATTTAGGGATGATTGGAGTATGGTTTTATTTGTTATTTATAATACGAAGTGTGTTGTAATATGTAAAAGGACATGCCATCTCAAGATGTTTAACTTCTCAATAACTTTCATATTTTGTCACATAAGCTAATAAAATGTTGATGTTAGTACAGCAACAACCCAATACAATCCCAACACTGTTGGAGCCTCGCGGTCAAGATTTACACACACTTACCTAATACCTATGTGAACACAGAGATGCTATTCTGAAACCCAAGATGCATTGCTGCATTTATTGCCCAAAACATCATAGAAAGTAGGAAGTAATGGAAGTTTAATTTGTCATTTTGATTTAATCCATTATCTGCCCGAAACTAAAGCATTGTCAATAATGTCTCTTTTAGCTCCATTAACAATGGACAGGAAGCCCATCATTCATTAATGTCGCTTCACAATTTTTACAGTCTTGAGATGGAACAATTGCATAAGAACTTGCTCTATTATGATCATAAATTTCTAATGACATATATCACAATGGCAATGGAAACTTTTCTATGCAGACATGAAAAATGATGGCATAAAGTTTGACACAAGGATAACTTGGAGGGAGTTACTAGTGCAGTACCTGCTTCCTGGCCCTTGATCTAGCAGCTGACTCTCTATTTTTAATCATCCGCCTCTGTCGCCTTTCAACAACCTTTTCCAATGCAGTGCTTTTCCTCCCCCTCAAACTCCCATTCAATGCAGCATAAGGAATTGGCGAGACAGAAGATGTATCACCATTACTCCTTGTGAGCCCATCTGATGAACCAGGTGGTGAACCTCCAGCTCCTAAACAGGCCATACCCATCCCCCCTCCACCTTGTTGTTGTCCAGATCCTTGAATCAGATTTCCATTTAAAGAGCCAACAACCACATCCGGAATTCCCATAACCTGAGCCCCCCTTAGTCCGTTGCTGCCATGCAATTGGCCATTGGTCGGGATTGGCATTGGACCACCATAGCCAAACGGTGGTTGCTTTGGAAACAAGAGTTGCTGCTGTTTCGCACTTTGTTGTTCTTGTCGTTGTTGCTCTTCAAGCTTTTGTTGTTGTTGTTGCTGCTGCTGCTGTAATTGCGACGTATGTGGCTGGGGAGGTCTATAAGAATTAGCCCCACCGTTCATATTCAACGCTAAATTAGCAGAATGGGTACCAATATCATGGATGTGTTGTTGGGAAGGTCTACTAGCCCCACCACCGTTCATGTTCAACAATAGATTAGCAGACTGCATGCCAATCTCACCCTGCGGAAATGCAAACCCTAGCCCAGCATCATTTACAGACTGTGGCATAGTATCACCAAAGACTCCACTGTTATTACAGATCTGTTGTCCAGACATCTGTGACTCTTCTCTCACAGCTCCAGCCCTAGATAAGAACTCCTCAAGGGTCATCTCTCCCAAAGTCTGCTGCCTCTGGGGCACATTTGAGCCACTGCCACTACCAACAACACTCCCATCTTTCTCAACAGCGTATTCCCTCAATATGTCCCTCCAAACTTCATCCACCGTCTTCTGGCTAAGCGTCCTCGGCAATGTGAGAGAGCCTTGCCTCTGCAAATGCCCGACGGGGCCGCCGTTTGGTTGCAACCCACTGCCAACGGCCGATGATCCAACCGTCTGATTCTCCTCTGCACTCCAGATGTTCTTCAACAGCTCATCCATGTTCATAGACCCAAAGTCCTTCCCGATCCCACCCCCAGCCATTGTGCTCTGAAACTCATCAAAAGTCAAAGAATAGACTGAAGATTGGCGCACCAATCCAAAACTCCCCGGCTGCCTGCCCCCTCCACCCCCCACTTGCTCATTACCAAAGCTCCGGAAGTTCATATAGCCTCCCAACTCAATCCAATCCGGCGAGGTTTCTTTCTGAATCTCACTGGGCGATTCAAATACACAGAATCATATAAGATCTGCGATCTAATGTCTGAACCAGAAATTCAGAACCAAATCATCAGCACAAGAGATTCCAAACCCATTACATATTCATTTCCGGAGCAGCGCACTAAATTTCATTTCAGTCGACCACATAAATCAATAGACATATAGCATTCAAAGCTTCTTTATTTTCAAAAAAAAAAAATTATTTTTCAGAGGAGAGAAAAAAAAGAGAAAAATCATAAACCAAAAGAACAATCAACCTATGAGTCTAATCTGAGTCAACAAATGAAGCTAGCATAACTCCGAACTCAGCAGAGACACAAGCAGATGCTGGAAATCCTACCAGCAACTAACTAAGAATCCGGGATTAAGAACACAGAAATAAATACTCCGTAATTAAGAGGAACACATGTACGAAAAAAAATACCAAATAAGGAATGAGCTTAAAAAAGATTTATTTTTTATTGTTTGAAATTACCTTTTTCGGAGATATTTTCGTTGTGTTTTTTAAAAAATTTCCCTTTTTTTTCCTCCTGAAAGCTGCAAGGCGGCGTTCTTCTTCGCTGCAATGGTTTTCTCAAGGCGACAAATGGCTTCGTCTTAGCCTCTTAGTATTTATTTATTTTTATCTCATTTTATTTTATTTATTTCGGAAGATAAAGACAATATAGTAGGAGAACTGTTCATTGTGGTGGCATTTGTGGGAGGAAAAGGCGAATGAGATGAGCAGTAGAAGTTGGTGAAAGCCAGCCAATAGCACAACAGCACGTGGAGAGTGGGCAAAAGCACACGTATTTTGATGTCAACGGTGAGGATGGTGTTTCGATTTTGGGGATATGGATCGTGGGATGCAGTCAGATCCGCGACGTTCACACTGCCCGCTCTTTTTTTCTTTTGTGACAACAATTTCTAATGAATAAAAGTTTGTTTTATTTAACTTACTACTCGGTAGCATTTTAATGGAAAAGACAAAAGCTAGGTTTAAAATATTGAAAAATATAATTTTTATGTTTTTATTATTAAAATATGGGTTAAAAATTTTTTACATTATCAATCATGACCATATACATTATCTAGAGTACCACATTACCACAGTGCGAACTTTCATTCAAAGAATAAAATATATAATTTCTATTTTAGTACTTTTTCTGTGTTGTACTTTCATTTAAGTTAGTTTCTTTATTTTAATTTGTGTCATATACGGGGTGAAACAATTTTTTTTATTTTATAATTTTGTTTTCACTACATTATTTTTGAAATATCGAACAAAATAACCTTATACTCCGGCAATATAAAACTAGTGTTAACCTCGTGCTTCGCACGGTCTCGTATATATTCTAAATTTTTGAGATTATGTAAATGTTGTTTTAGTTTTCTAATAGTTAAAAAATATATTTTAAACTGGTGGAATATATATTGGTATGTTAATTTAAAAACAAACTAATTTTATAAAATTAATGGTCATTGAATTAAGTACTAATAAAAATAGTTTTAATTAATAAAATATTTTAATAAAAAGTGGATTAATTACATAATGATACATCATTAGAAAATGTATACGTGTCATGATGTCACTTGTCAGTTGTCACTCTTCAATTAAACAAATTTTATTCTATTTATTTTGTTAAAAAATATATGTAGCAATAAAATAAATAATGTAATAAGATTAAATTTTTGAAACAAAATATTTAATTAATAAATATGCATATATTATTAAATTTATATAATCATTTTTTTTGAAAAGTAATAAACTAAAATAAGTTTTGGATAGTACTCCCTCCGTCCCACAAAAAAGTTCCCATTTTGAATAGTATTTAGTCAAATATTTACACGCTTTGACTACAAATTGTGAGAAAGGTATATTGAATTATGAAATAAATTTTATATAATTAGATTCATCTTAGGATCTAGTTTTAATATCTCAAATTTTTTTAGCATTTCTTTATTTATATTATATTTAGTTTAGGGTCAAAGTTTGCAATAGTTTGACCAATTTATGGTCAAAATGGGAACTTTTTTGTGGGACGGAGGAAGTATAAAATAATTTTATATATATATATATATATATATATATATATATATAGGGATTGACTCCAGTGAGATGACACCTTACGGTGAGATGACATGCTTCGGTAAGATGACGCAAAGCTCACCACATTACACTACAAAGCTCACCAATGGCATATGTAAAGCTCACCTGGAAATAAAGCAAAGCTCACTACTTTGAAAACCAAAACTCACCTTTTTTTAATTTTAAAAATTAAAAAATTAATAAAAAATAAAATATCAACGCCAGTCAACCACCGGCCAGCAACGACGGCGTAGCGGAGACCGGCAGCGGCAGTCGGCGGTGGTGGTCGGCGGCAGCGGCGGAAGGCAGCGGTGGTCGGCGGCGGCCGGCGGAGGAGGCGGTGGTCGGCGGCGGCAGGGGTCGCCGGTGATGGTCAACAGTCAATGGTCAAAGTATAGTCAGCACCCCTTCCTTTGATTTTTTTTTTCAAAAAAAATTCAAAGTGTTTAAAAAATATGGTGAGCTTTGCTTTATAGTTTGGTGAGCTTTGCGTCATCTGACCGTAACATGTCATCTTACCGTAACCTGTCATCTGACTAGAGTCAATCCCATATATAATATATATATATATATATATATATATATATATATATATATATGGGATTGACTCTAGTAAGAAGACACCTTACGGTGAGATGACATGCTTCAGTGAGATGACGCCAAAATCACCACACTACACTACAAAGCTCACCAATGGACAATGCAAAGCTCACTTGGAAATAAAGTAAAGCTCGTCACTTTGAACACCAAAACCCACCTTTTTTAAATTTTGAAACTTAAAAAATAGTTAAAAATAAAATATGAACACCGGTCAACCACCGGTCAGCAGCGGCAGCACGGCGGCGGTGGCGGAGCAGCGGCGGCGGCAGGCGGCGATCAACAGTCAAAATCTAGTCATCACCCCTTCCTTTGTTTTTATTTTTTTTCAAAAAAAAATCAAAGTGTTGAAAAAATATGGTGAGCTTTGCTTTAGAGCTTGGTGAGTTTTATAGTTGTCTTTGATGAGCTTTGCAGTGGCCAGTAGTGAGCTTTGCGTCATCTGAATGTAGCATGTTATCTTACCGTAAGGTGTCATCTGACTGAAGTCAATCTCATATATGTGTGTGTGTGTGTGTGTATATATATATATATATATATATAGTTTTATACAAATGTATTCAAAGATCTTTTAAAAAAATCTAAATGGACTAATGATTGAAATGCATATATCCACCTCATTAGTGATGAACATGTGGATGCACGTGTGGCATGCCAGATGTCAACACTACAACAAATGAACTCTACTTCTCACACACACACATATATAGAATAATGATAAGATATATAACATTTTCTAATAAAATTTTATAATATACATTTGACAATTTTTTTTAAAAATTTAAACATTTCAAAAACATTTGAGGTATACAACATTTTATTGTGATGCTATAAAGATTACCAAAGATATTTAAAATTAATACTTTCAACCCTACTTTTACTCTCACTCGCAAAACATAAACTACATGACAAAATCACGCGGTGGAAGAAGCAACATGAGAGACCGAGGAGTCCATGAGAGCTCAGTATCCTCAACTCTTCAATGATCAATGACTCTGGTAATTTCGTGGACGAAATTCTTTTAAGGGAGAGAGAAATGTAATGCCTTAAAACTCGGCCTATCAGAATTAATTAAAAAATAGTTAATTAATTACGGAGACAGACTCGGTTAAATTATGAAATATTCTTTGTTTGATAATAAGGTTTATACCATTGTGTAGGATTCGACAGAACGAATCCAACGATGCAACCGAATTTGGATTTGGAGCCCGTGGGCTCGGAAAGTGCGTTTTGGGACAGGTACGTTAAGTTAATACGGAGCCCAAAACCCTGAACATGAAAGTAACACCTTACACGCCTAAAATCCCTGCACGCCTCCCATAATATTTAGATAAACCCTTCTCTCTCTTTCTCGTGTCTCCTTTGTCGGTCGAAGAACAGCAGTAGAACCGAGAAGGAACGCAGTAGAAATTAAAAGAAGGAGAAAAGAAGAAGAAAAGAAGGAAGAAGAAGGAAGAGGAATTTGTTGTCCGGTTCTCCGTCGCTAACACTATTCTGTAATCCTTAATCGTCAAATTCGAGGTTAGTACGTGGACATCTAACGTATGGTTATAGTTGTAGGTTGAATCTTAGTTTCGTAAAATCGTTACGGTTGATCTACTTGAACCTACGTGAATTATGCTTTGTTTATGTTGTTAATGGTTTGAGAAGCATGAATTAGCTTAGAATTGCTTAGGGGGATGTTAGGGAATGTTTGAGTATTGATTTAGGACCTATTGATGCTTGTTCTTTCCAGTTAAATGTTGGTTTGGTTGGTAAAAATAGAGCTGGTGCATGCATGTTTGGGTTTCGGCACGACAGACGGTAGGTGGGTACCGCTGGCATGGTACCTAGCTACCGCCACCCGCCTCGTTTTTCCCTCGCTCTAGCAGTACCTGTCACCAAACGGTACCTATGTACCAGGCGGACGGTAAGCCCTACCACTGGGCGGTAGAGGCTAGCATGACAAGCCTATCGAATAAGAGTTACAGCTACACGGTCGGCACCCACGTATCGTAGGACGGTACCCTGGTATCGTGGGGTCGGTACCCTCTACCATTAAGAGTACCATGAGGTACTTGAACCGGTCCGAATCTTCTATTTGCATCAAGGATCGATTCCGAGACTTCGTATGTTGCATGACGGTAAACATGGGTGTCAACACTCAATGTTAGGCCACTGTTTGAGCATGTTGAATGTGGTGATTAATACTTGTTTATCATGAATAATTAATGAAGAAATGATGAATCACCTAGAATGAACTCTAGGGACTAACCAGAATGGATTAGTGGAGAGGTATGCAATAAGTTAGTAGTTAGAGTCATGCGGTACCTGATGGGTCTAATGGTTGTTCGGGTAAAAACGTGTACATGGGGATCTAAGAACTGTCGTTCCGAAGGGGACAGGGATCTCACCCACCCAACGAGGAACTCTCGAGTTGGTATGAGTTTGACCTTCATTCCGAAGGGGAAGGTCATGACTCCCATAGGCAAGTCGAATTCAGTTAAGCTTTAACCTAACATAGGTTAAGAGCCAAGTACGAAAAGAAAGTAAAGAAAATTAAAGAGGAAAGAACCTGATGTTATATCGTTGTTGTTTGTATCTCATGAATGATTATGATATATATTATGCATGATATATCCTGTATACTGTTATGATTGTTAGCTTCAATGCTGAGCTTGTAGCGTTTGTTCCTTTGCTACACGTAGGTAATCCAGGGAATGAGGAACTTGGAGCCAAACTCTGAGGGCAATGAGGATTCTGAGATGTGCGTGGCAGTATTCGACGACTTTGAATGAGACTACTTACTATTTAAATTAACTTATTACTATTTCGGGCATGATTCCCAAGTTGTGTTTTGAATTATGAATTAAGTTTCCGCGATTATTTTGAATATTACTCCGATGATTGGTAACTATGTTTTGAAATGTTTTTTTTGAATTGTTTTGAAAAGTTAAATTGTGCGGGTTGGGGTGTTACATCAACCTTCACAAAAACTGGACCGTACTTTATCGCTGAATCAACCTTTGCAACATCTAGAGTTTTTTTATCCCTAAAAGAAAGTGCAACAAGAATGTAGTCTTTTAGAGTCGGTACTCCTCCCCCCCCATTTTGTATATGTAGCTATCGTTCCTTCTCAACCTTGCGGCTAAATGATAAGTGTGATTATTTTTGAAAGAGCGCGAAAAAATAAAATTATTTGAGATAATTTTCTTAAAGTTTAGGATCTACTCAGTACAATTTTTCTATATCTATCCCAATAACCAATGTTATGTGATGAACCGTGTCCGGTGTCACCTTTGTAACATAAAAGGTACTCCGTATATGGTACAACTGGATGTACGGTACATCATGGTGGTACTCATTCTGAAGTAGAGTAGTACTCATTTTTGCAAAAATATAATTAGCGTGGTACTCATTCTAAAATAATGCAGCACTCATTTTTGCATATTGATTCAATATAATTATACTCCATCAGTCCCAAATTATTTGTCACATTTCTATTACCGAAGTAAAATATTAAGTTTTTTCAATTCATTTTATTTACATATTGGTAAAAAAATAAAAAATAAAAATTACATATCAAAAAACTACATGAAAAGTTCTTCGAAATAAGAGGTGTCAAGAAGATTTTATTTTATCAAATAACCAATGAAAACGTAGAAATAAAAAAAAGTTCCCGCGACTGTTGAAAAAGCAAATGTGGCAAATAATTTGGGACGAAGGGAGTAATATTCATGTACAAATAATGTAGTGTTAATTATGCAACAAAATTGTATTCATTCTCAAATAATTTAGTACTCATTTTCATATATAATAAAATCTATACATAAATAATTGTTTGGTTGTATCTAAAATTGGATAAAAGTCATAAAACGGGATATATAATATATTTTGCTAACATAAGCTGACTTTGATTTTGATTGAGCAAAAAGTACTCCGTAAGGTTAGCACGAATTCAAATTATTTTACTTGTTGATTTTAGAGAGATTGAAGATGACTTCAATTTCTTCGTCGAGACCTCTGCAAATTCAATTCCTCAGCAGAATCGGTCCTTCTCCCCGTTCACTTCAACCGTCTTCATATCTTGCCATTCACCGTTGGAACAACTCTCAGTTCCGTCGGTGCACGATTGTAGTGAAGACCAGCTCTGTAGATGGATGGGCTGGGAATGACCGGGGCCTTCACAAACTGGAGCTTCTTAGGAAACCGGTGACTGCGCCGTCCGTGGAGTATTCCGGTGGGGGAGAGTCAACAGGAAAGCCCCATTACGATGAGAGTGAGGAGATTGACAAAGAGGATCGGTTTGATTGGGAGCACAAGATTTTGGGGGAAACCTATCCGCTTGTAGGGCTTGCCAGAGTGATTCTTCATTCTGGAAGGTAAAGTGCGGATTTGCTTCATTTTACAAGTATTTTAGTCTAAAATTTTTTTGGCATTACAGGATACCTCAACACATGGTCGATTCTTCTATTCGAATATGAGTTATTCCTTAATGTCATTATCTAACAGCCAATTGCATTGCTTAAATGTATTTGATTTGTTATTTGTTAAGTAATAGCTTAGGTTGAAGACATTAAAATATGAAACTGGCCAGCCAGATGTGTAAAAGACCTTTGTTATTCCTGTGACTATGTTATCCTTAAAATTCAACTCCCTCCGTTTGCATTGGATGCTGGCGATCCCTGTGAGGCGAGGGGAGTGCAAACTCGCAATACAATTTGTTGGGTTCTGATTAGTGACTTAAAAGGAAAGTCTATGTTTTCTAAGTTCTTTATCAACTAAATGCACTTTGTAAAGTCTTTAACCTGATACGAGTATGTTACTAGAGGACGATATTTATGTAACCAGATTTTGATAATTTGAGTATATAACTATAATTGCTATCTCTTCGTCAAAGGTTTATCTTTTTTCCATGGTCATGCAAAGCTCTTTATTTGTCCATGCGGTGGGCAAGTAATTATGACCTTTTGCATTTCTATGAAGTAAACTTTTAGTCTTATCACTCTTTAAAAAACATAAATTCAGTCCTCAAGAAGTCATGCTCTTTTCTCACACCTATCTTGTAAACCTGTACCTCAAACTCGTGCAAAGTTGAGGAAGCTTGTTTGTCTAAGTATCTAACTCATGATTAAATGGATCAGGATTTATGTGGCCCCATACTTTACTTCTCAACTGAAAGCATAGTTGGTTTTGCATTGTCAGTGCTTTCAACTTATTGACATGTTAGTTACGATACAAATTGATGGCACTTGACTGGTCCTACATGTTTTTTTTGCATTCAATGCACATTTAGCGAGGTCATTAATTATGGGCTTACTTTGCAGATATGAAGTTGGTGATCCGCTAAGTTTTGAACATGAAAAAATTATGTTGGAGAAGTTTCTTCCATACCATCCAGAGTGTGTAAAGAAGATTGGGTGCGGTGTCAAGTACATTACTGTGTGTTACTTAACTCTTCGTTTCCTCATTTTTTGGTGCATATATCTGTCTGTTTAACTTGCAATTGATTCTTATCCAGTACACTACTTGCATTTATGCATACAAGTTCTTGTCCAAGAATAACCAAACCAAACATAATCGGTATATCCCACTGAGAAGTAGGGTCTGAAAATTTCATGCCCATGAAGTTTTTGAAAGATTTCTAGATTATTATTATCCACATAGAAGTGTAACTGTCTGCACTACAAGTTTGTAGTTACTTTCAGAACATTTGAAAGTATAATGCAACAATTATGATACACATCAAAAGGGAGAATGAATGGAAGTCAGAGGGGCAGGAACTTCTTTTTCACTTTTCTCCCCAATTATATGTGATTTATTTTGTAGATTTCATCTGTTTAGTACTCCGTATTGGCTAGTTGTAACAGACCTCTCAAGGACTAAACGTTGTGTATAAGCTAACATACAAGGATAATAAGAGTCTAGGCATTTGATTGTCTACACTAAGTAAATGCGGAGTAATACTCCATCCGTTCCAAAATAAGTGCGATGGTCAAAATTTTACACTATTTACACACCCTCATCTGACCATCTTTTATGATATATAAGTAAGCATAAATATAGTTATGTGGCATATTTTTATTTTTTTATCAATAAGAACATTTATTATATCAATTTTATATAATTTTTACTGAGAGACTATTTCTCAAAGACCTTCAAACAAGTAAATGATATATTGATATGGAATAATTGAAACTAGAAATTTCTAAAAGAGAAAGCAACTCAAGGGATCTAATTAGCAGAGATTTTATATGTGAGAAAATGTTTAGCAGCCTTTTTGCATAACAAATCCCTTATTCAGGAAGGCAATTATTTCTTATTGTGATCATCGGCCAAAGGCTGAGGCCTGAGGGAAAGGCATTATTCTTGATGAAAAAGCTCATTCCTCAATCATATGTCCCTCTCCTAAGACTTATTTAAAATCTGTAGCTTATGTTTTTTTATTTATTTTTGTACCTCTTTTCTCTATAAATTTGAAGACACATGGAAGACACAAAACAAAGCTAGTTAATCTCTGACCTGAAACAATCGGTCGGTCCCTAGTCGGCTTGTGAAGCCAACTAACTTTTTCCTTTATCAAAACAAAACTGTTTTTACTTTTAAGCTTTTGTTAAAACAAACAATAATGCCTAATCTCTACTCCCATTGTGCTGAAACTTTGAACTCTCGACTCCCTTCTTTTCCAATTTTTCATATCTCAATTTTTGGCATTTGACCATAACCCCTGATGGCCTCACAGCAAATATGTTGTTTGTGTCAGTTCTGTCACATTCATATCATTTATTTGAATACTACTCCCTCCGTCATGTAAAAAGATTCCACTTTGATGAGTATACAACTTCTAAATTTTAGTAAGCACAACTCTTAGAAAGCACTAAACATATCTGTTAAACCAGGTGAGAAATATATTACTTTATGGGAGAAAAACAAGTTGAGAAAGTACAATTTATTCATTTTTCTAGTGCAAATTTTATCTAGCAAGGTATTTCCCCATCAAAAAATGAAAAGGATGTACTAGCACCTTATTTTCTCCCAAATAGTTTTCCTATCTTTTTCAGCATAATATGCTAGCAAACATGTGTTGCATTACTTGCATATATAACTGCTAAACTGTACTAGAACACCTATTGAATGAGAATGGAAGTTCTGTGTGGGTCATTCTATGAATTAGATTTTTCATTATATGCTTGTTTCACAAGAACTACGGAGTATTAAATAGCTCTAATTCCTCTAAATATGAAAAGTGCTACAGTTTTATTTCATTCTCATTGACAGACAGGGTACCACCCAACATATGGAAGATCACGATGTTTGTTTATAGTGCGTGAAGATGGAGAACATGTTGACTTCTCTTATTGGAAGTGCTTAAAGGGTTACATCAAGAAAAACTACCCACATTGTGCTGAGAGCTTTATACTTAGGCATTTTGAGAAGTTGAAGCGTGAGTGAAGGTATATTGTTTTGATTTGTAGCTATTTCTACTTTGATCAATCTATGGAAAGAAATCCCGGCACCAAATGATTTGAGTAATCACCACATTACGGTGTATTATGTAAATGTGGTAATTAATACCGGGTGTAAAAAACTATTAGAATCTACATTCTGCAAATCTCTAGTGGGTATTTGATATCTTAAAACTTTCAGTTGTTCTCCCAAACGAGTGGTGCTGACAAAAAATCATCAATAAACTTCTTTGTTTACTATACCAAATCTCACATAAAAAATTGAAAAATAATAGGTATATAAGCTTTTGAGTTGAACTAAGTAATCGATTGGATTCAATCTTTTAATGTGGTTCAACTTAACCGTCTTATGGGTTTCCCATCCTAAATTGTAATGATACCGGAGACAGTTTTAGTGAGCTCATTTGTTAATGTGTTCGTCTAGAAACTTATTTCTAGCGACCCATTGGTCTTTAACATAGTTGTCCGTATAATTCGATTGTTCGTCTGGAAGTTCATACCCAGCAACTTGTGTTCTTCTAGGTCAGGGGCGGACCCCACAGAAAGTTTAGATTTTTTAAGTATATATGTATATATATATACATAATTTTTTTAGTGTATACCTATATTTAGTACGGAGTATATATTTTCTAAAACGCTCCCTAATTCAACTTGTAAATGCTGAAGGAGTGGAAAACTCTATGTTCAACATTTGAGTGGGTGGTCTTGGGTTCGAAACTAGCCATGGGATAACTTTATTATTTTTATTGGAAGATGCATTTTTAAAATGGTGTCGTCTTTCTTTCTTTCTTTATTCCGGTTTTGTCTTAAACCTAAAAAACTTCGAATGGGCTTGTTGATTTGTCTATGAAAATGGTTTCTACAAAGAAGGCTATGACATATCAGCATGCATGTTTACACACTCAGAAGGTTAGTTATGCTTCTACCATTAGCAACTGCTAGTGTTGAGCGTGCTTTTTCAACCATGAAGTTTGTGAAGAATGAGGTTTGAAACAAAATTTGTGACCAATGGTTAAGCGATTGTCTAGTGACATATATTGAAAGAGATGTCTTTGCTGCTATTAGCAATGATAAAATAATAAATCACTTTCAAAATATGAAAACTAGACGTTATCAATTGTAAGATGCATTTCACAATTGCAATGCAGAACAAATTTTAATTAGTATTTTCAATAATATATATAAACTTGAGTAAATTCCATAAAAGGTCTCCAGTTATAGTTCGTTTTACATATTTAGTCTCTACATTTCAAAAATTTAGTCCCCAATTATTATATTACTTTCCACGAATGGTCCTTTGTTAGCATTTTCGTTAAAAACATAGAAAAAAATTGTAAATTCACACTCCTCTCTCTCCTCAATTAAGCTTCCTCCCTCCTCTCGCACTCTATTCCCAAACCCGTCGGTGAGTTTGAAGTTTTGAACCCAAAACCAAAATCATCACTTCTCTCTCAATTGTTTGTCTTCCTGGTGGAATCTAAAATCAAAACCAGTAACCTTCATGGATGAGTTTTAAGGTTTGTTTTTTTTTGCAATTTCCCTAGACTAAATCATTAAATTCATTCATGAAGGTTAATAGATTCCATTTTAGGTTCCACTAGAAAGATGAACAATTGAGAGGAATGATCATATCGGTTTTGGGTTTAGAGCTTCAAATTTAGCAACGTGTTTGGGAATTAGTACGAGAGGAGGGAGGAAACTTAATTGAAGAAAGAGAGGAGTGTGAATATACAATTTTATTCATGTTTTTAACGGAAATGTTAACAAAGGACTATTTGTGGAAAAGAATATAATAATTGGGGACTAAATTATTGATATTTGATATGTAGGGACTAAATATGTAAAACGACCTATAACTGAGGACCTTTTATGGAATTTACTCTATAAACTTTAATATTATGCATTATAGAATACTGTTTATTTACTGCTAGAAGCGTGATGGTTGGATATAAATTTTCTAAATTGCGACCCCATGGTTCAAATGTTCTGGGTTCGCCCCTGTTCTAGGTGTTGACATTTTTGGTTCTTTCATTTCTTGGGGAAGTGGAGTGTATGTGCACGTGGCCAAGCAGTTAGTTTTAAAATGGCCTGGTAGCCAACTTGAGGGGAGTGTCAAAATATCCCACATCAGAAATTGAGAAAAAAAGTAATTAGTATATAACCTCCTGAATTGAATTAAGTAATCAATTTGATTTAATCTTTTATTGTGGTTTAACTCAAATATCTTATAACTCATTCCAGTTACTCTTTCCCTATCCTAAATTCTATCACTCCATTGCTTCCATGCTTACCTTCTTATGTTTTGTCTCTTTACCTTTACGAGGAGAGGCAGGTTCTGCATAGGCCTTGTTTGGCAAATGGATTTTCAACCATTATGTGGCTGTTTGACCATAGATGGTTGATTTGTTTAGTGCTAAAAATAATGTTTGGAGTATGGCATTTTGAGTTGGCTTTTCACTCCAAACAGCCAAAATTTGAAAGGCCATGAGGAGCGTTTCCCTCGAGTCGTTGGATTAATTGATTTAATTCTCTTTTTACCATTTCGTTCCCTCACTCTCAGATATGGAATTTGTTGCTGTTTCCATTAATTCATTTGCTGGAGGGTGCTTTTCTCCTCTTTTTTTGCAAGAGTGCTCTTTCTTCTTTTACTTTGTGTATGTGTTTAGAAAAATTTCAATTTCTTTCTAGATATAGATCATAGTAATGCCATTCTTGGTTAATTTCAATTTATTTTAAAATTAATGTATATATTTTTACTTATTCAAAAACTACATTAATATGTCTATAATATAAAACGTGGTATTATTATTACTATTTGAAGTGATTAATGCAAATATGTGTACAAACAAAATAAAGTTTTAACTCTAATTCTAATTTAAAAAATCTATAAACTAATTAGTACTTCGTATCAAAGATTAACTTAATTCACGAGGATTTAAATGTAATTTTCTATACAAACAGCTAATTGTGAACCACTAAGTTTGCTGAACAGTTTTTCTTAAACATCAAACACTACTAGGCAAAACAACCAACTCAATCAGCTATTCAAAATGGCTAACACAACGAACCGCCAACAGCTAGTTTCCAAACAAGGCCATAATCTCACGAGACCTGACAATAAAACCGGAGTCAATTACTCAAATAGAATAGCTCAAAATTAAATCTAAAATAATACAAAAACTAAATAATCAATCTATAACCGAAAACTAGCAACAACCCGAATACAACTGGATCATCTGAAAGTGGTAAATCTTATCAATGGTACATAAATTTTCAATACTATTTCACTTCCATATATGAATTTTATATCCTATATGGATTATGAAGTATCACAAAATATACCAACTTCAACATTGTTTCACCAAAAGTATTTTAGTAGGTTTTCAGGTAACTAATAGGTCACCTAGATAACCAATACGTCACCTAGGTGACCAAAAGATCAACTAAGGCCAGTGGCAGACCCAGACTTTCAAATAAGCGGTGTCAAGAGTAAAGGGGCCAGAACTTCTCAGGCGGATTGTGTGTGCATGTGACAAGAGTTTGGAGGCAGCGTCTCAAGATTTCTTTTACAAAGACAATAAGAAATAACAAAAAATATCAAACTAATAAATTTTATCTTTAACGTTTAAATAATTAAAATAACATCATTAAATGACATTATTATTAATTATAAAAATGTTAAAAATTAATAGTGGTAGAAAATATTCTGGTTAATACACATTACAGTGATAGATAACTAATCTATATCTATATCTATATCTATATATATACAAAGATGAGAGCCACATTTGAACAGTGTTCCCGCCTAAAAAATTGGGCCGGGTAACACTGTTCATGAATCGGATAAAAAAGTTGAGCTAATTGCACTGCTAGGCTTTTGGGTTGGGTGAGGCATGTGGGTATAGGCTTGCGTTAGTAGGCTTTTACTTTATAGATGTGTTAATGACAATTATTTACTTTTATTGAAAGATGTGCTTTAAACATTCCTATCAATTTACTACGGAAAAATGCTACGGGTACACCAAAGTTGTACCCCAAATATCCCCCACCCCCTCCTTGTCGACTAAAAAAGACAAAAATTTAAAAAAATAAGTAAATAAAAATCAAATAAAAATGTGTAAAGAAAAATATGGTGGTGTACATTTGGGGTACACCTTTTGGTGTACCCCTAGCATTACTCATTTACTACGAGCTAAGCATGCCATTGATAAGTGTACCCATTAACATAATAGATTTCCAAATCTTTTGAAAAGTGTGCCATTAATATACTCCCTCCGTCCCTTTAAATATGAGATGTTTTGATTTTTGAAAAGATTTAAGGGAAGTGTATTTTGGTATTGAATTTCCAAAAATTTTCTTTGATGTGATGGGTAAAAGTAGGATTTGATGGTTAGATTATTAGTAAAAAAGGTATGATGTGATAGGTAGGGTATGAAAAAGTAAGGGGTAAAACTGACTTTTTAATAGAAATAAGAAGTGTTTTTTGGGACGGATGAAAAAAGAAAGGAGAAAAGTTTTCAGGGATCGAGGCAGTACTTCTTTTGTATCTAATTTAATTACAAATTGAGATTTATGAGGAAAAATATATCTTTCTTTTGGAAATAATTTTATTTTACAAATTGATATATCAATAAAAAATAAATATTATATATTAAAAAACTACGTCAAAAGTTCTACAAAACAAGATGTGACAAAAATATTTTATTTTATTGAATACTTAATAAAATCACATAAATAAATAAAAGTTATCGAGAAGAGAGAGAAAAAATTGTAATACAAAGCGGAACGAATGAAGTACTTTATTCAACTAGCCATTTAGTGTATGATATAAATATACTACTAATCCACTACTGTAAAATATAGGTCCTGGACAAAATGAGCAGTACAACACACCAGTTGAGTGTAGTGATATTGGAGAATATTGTATTTTTATAGAGAATATTTTGTATTAATTGTAGATCCTTTATTTTAGGTAAGTGCCTTGTACAATGATTTACCATACTTAGTATTGTAAACCCAATTGTATAAAGGAAAATGCTAGGGTGCCATCACATGGGTGCTACCATGGGTGCACCCATGTGGTGGCACCTTAGCATGGTCCTTGTATAAATAAGGACCAAGGGACATGAGGCAAGTAATTATTTACTCCCTCCGTCCTAGAATTAACTTCCCATTTGACTTTTCACGGTCTCCAATGCGATACTTTGAAAATTAATATCTTCATTTATATGAATATATATTACAAAAATAACATATTTCAAAAATATGTTTCAAAATTAATCTATTAATAAAAAATTTATATGAAAATTTATTATATTTTTTCCGTAATATACGGTCAAAGTTTAAAAACTTTGAATGCAAAAGTCAAATTGAGAAATTAATTTTAGGACAGAGTAATACTAAAATTCAATATGGTATCTGAGCATTAATTTTTTTCTCTCCAAGTGCGCAATCGCAGATCTCTGCTTCCGGTCGAAGATCCTGTAGTCTGGTCTCCGTCAATTGCAGATCGTCAATTGCTTCCGGTCAATAGCTTTCCATCAATTGCCGCTCGTCAATTCCCGCTCGTCCGTTGCTTCTGGTTTCCGTCAATTTCGCAGATCGTTTTGGAGACACATCGTTTTTGGAGACACATCGTTTCTTTCATACCTGGGATATCTCGTTTGATGAATCCACCTTTCCATTTGCCATTCCACCGTCTCCTCCTTCACACCCTCGTCCCCCGTCACATGGGGACTTCCCGGTAGCAACATTCCCCGACCTTCCTACCGAGGACCATCCATCCACCCAACCCATAGTCGATCTGTCTACCTCATCCAGCACTCAACTGTCCACCACTGTTCCTACGGTAGCTGATTGATTAGTCTATTATTTGTGCATGTATTGTTATATTTTGTTAGAATTATTGACTCTGTTTTTATATTAAATTGCTTAATCTTGGGTGATATTATAATTTTGGAGTGATTTCTGTTTATGGTTTGATTTTGGAGTCCAATTATAAGGGAAGGACCTATTAACAAACTTATTAGATAAATGGGGTCTATTTTATAATTTGAAAAAGTTTATTTGGATAGATAGGAGGTTGGACCAGAGGCTGGAAAAAGGAGGGACGGACGGGACAGAAACTAGGGCTTTCTATCTGAGACAACCGGCAGAGGCGAGACGAGGGACTGTCTTCTTCGATTGACGCTGAGGACCAGAGGCTCGGATAGACGCTGGGACTGGGCAGACGAGGTCTGCTCGGTAACCTTCGATCGACGACGGCGCTAGGAAGAAGCGGTAGACGGAGGCGACGACGGAGCACAGCAGCGGCACCTCAGCTGCTCCTTCTTCGACGAGCGTCCAGCCATCGGAAACGGCGACCTGGGATTGTGATTTCTACGGCGAATCTAAGCTCTAGCCTGGTTCAATTCACTCCCACTTTTTCCTCCTAAATCTAAGCTTTAGCACTATTTTCTTTAGATTTGTTCACTCTACTTTTGTATTCACTTGTTAGATTATTTCTCTTTAATATTTGTGTTCTTTTCTTATGGTTGTGTTTCTTGACATCATGAGTGGCTAGATATCTAGACTTGGGTGTTGGATTGTTTAAGTGTTTGATGATTATTATGCTTTGATTCTTCATTTGTAGGATTATTTGTGGATAAATCCTAAGTAGTTTGTGATAGAGGATTATTTCCCTAATTGTTTGTGTACCAAACAATGTGTGGTTTTGGAAATGAGTTTTAAATCATCAAGGAATTGGGTTTTAGAATTCTAGTCTTAGTTCTTCACTCTCAATGCATTTCATGGAAGTGGTTATGAATTTGAGGAGTCTCGTTTTACTTGGATATTGTCTTGGTTGAACTACCAAGGAATTGGAGATCAACTTAGATGGTTTATTTCTTTTGCCATGAAAATGGAAAAGAAATCTTTGTTAGACTCACTACTTGTTTTGATTTCCCTAATGATTCCCTTTCTTTTTAGGCATGCCATCAAACACTTATCCTCCAACACCCAAATCGCTTTCTCAATCATTTATTTCTAATCTTTAGTTATAGCTTTTGTTCTTTTGATCTTGACTCTTCAACCACTTTTTAGACTTAGATTCACTATTATTAGTAGCTCAATTAGTGCTTGATTGGCTAAGTACTTGATTCCCTTATAGCTATCCTCTGCGGGAACGACAAAAATACTTACCACTTTTACCACATAATAATTCAACAAAAAGTCCTCAAATCAAAATGGCGCCGCGTCGCCGGGGATAGTTTGGTTTCTAGTACTTAGTTTGATTAACATTAGTTGTACTTCTATTGTGGAGCTTAAGTCAATTTTTTTTACTTTTTTTTGTTCGAGTTTACGCTTGGTGTTTGTTCTTGAAGCTTGTAGGTTTGGCGCTGTTGCATGCACACCCGATCAAAGGGAATACAAGGAGTGTTACCTCTTGATCTTGAGATTGAACGGAAATCATGGAGAACAATCCGAATGAGCCGCCCATTTCTCAAGTCCTTCCATACACACCATTACATGCATCCTCCCCATCCACTTCACACCATTCTCCCATGCAAGAGATTTTACAAAATCTCCAACAACTCAATCAATTAAGCCAACCCGAACCTCGTATCCCACTATCTACCGATTTTTCACAATCGATACCCACCGTTGTGCCTATTCATACCATGGGGATCTCACTCCCAATCTCTACCCCTCCCTTCATGCCCACTATGCCCAACCTCAAAACCTTCCACCATATCCATACCCATACTATTATCCCCAATTCGTACCTCAACCACCACTACCACAATACCAAATGCCCCAAGCTCATAACCCTCATCCGATTCCCAACCCTATTCCTCAAGAGAGAGTTCAAGGGAAAAGGAGAAAGTTGGTGGACTATATTGCGGGTGATATGAATGGGGAGGATAGCATTCGGTTTCCAAGGGTGAAGGCTAATAACTTTGAGATCAAGCCGGCTATGATTTCTTTGGTTTCGGCAAATCAATTTGGAGGCTCAAAAACCGAAGATGCAACATCTCATGTGAGGCAATTTTTGCGGATTCTTGAAACTCTCAAGGTCAATGGATGTTCTCAAGATGCTATTTGTTTGAGACTTTTCCCTTTCTCTTTGAGAGATGGGGCACAAAAATGGCTCAACTCCTTTCCTTCCGTTCACTTTGTCACTTGGGATCAAATGCGTGAAGAGTTTATGAAAGAGTTCTTCCCTCCATCAAAAGCATCTAAGCTCAAGAGGCAAATCCAACAGTTTAATCAACTCCCTTCGGAATCCTTGAATGAAGCTTGGAAGAGATTCAAGGATCTTCAAAGGCAATGTCCTCATCATAATATTTCCGAAGGAGACTTGATCGTGATATTCTATGAGGGCTTGATGGACTCTTCCAAGATTATGGTGGATTCCTCTTCAAATGGAGCTTTTCTACAACTTGAGCCGGAGGAGGGTAGAGAACTCTTGGAAAAGATGTGCTCCAATAGTGCACATTGGTACAACGAAAGATCTACATCTAAAGGAGTGGCCGGAATCTATGAAGTGAATAGTCATACCGCATTGGAAGCAAAGATGGAATCTATTAATGCCGCTCTTCAAAAGCTTCTCTTAAAGCAAGATCAATCATCTCCTCCACCGGTTCATCCTATGCCTACCACTTTGGAGCCATCTTATGCGGTTCGGGGATCATGTGAAATATGCGGTGGAGAACATGCGACCAAGGCTTGTTATTTGCTTCAAACTACTCAACAATCACATTCGACAAGCACTATGGAGCATGTGGATGCTTACACCTATGGGCGTCCGCAAGGTCCTTCTCAAGGAAACTTTAATACCCAAGGAAGAGTACATCCCGGGTTCTCTTGGAGTAATCCCCAAGGATCGGCGAATCCTACTCATGCACCCAAGCCCACTCCTCCCGGATTTTCTAATCAAAATTATCAACAATCAAAAGGGGGATATCAAAATACTCAATGGAGAAACTCACCCACTCAAGCTTATCAACCTCTTGTTCCTCCACCCTCTTCCCAATTATTCCAAACACCTACCCCTCAACCCATTCCCAATGAGATGTTGCAATTCATGCAACAAGTCACACATTCTCTCAACACCTTGAATACCACTTGGAATACAAAGTTTGACCAACTTACCGCGCACAACAAGATGTTGGAGAACCAAATTGCCTCTCAAGCTTCTACCTCTCAATCAAAAGCCACGGGGAAGTTGCCTGCCCATTCGGAAAATCCGAAGGATCATGTCAATGCCATTATTACAAGGAGTGGGAAGCAAACAAAAGACCCCCAACCGGCCTCTTATCCCGATGCATCTAAAGAGGATGACATTCTTGAAGAGGTAGAGGAGATTCCAAGAGAAGCAACAAGGAAGGATCCTAAATCAAAGAAGGGCCTTCAACAATTTACCCCACCACTACCTTTTCCTCAAAGGGTGCGGAAGTCTAATGAAGAGAATGAGGTTGAAGAGTGCGAAGCTATCTCACCACAAGAGGTCCTTAGTGTAAGGGAGCATGTGGGACAAGGGGTGAACCGTGATGGGCGAGGCTCTCTTGACGAAGAAAGGGCACCGAAAGTGGAGCTCAAACCGCTTCCACCCAACTTGAAGTATGCCTTCCTCGGTTCCAATTCTACTTATCCCGTCATTGTGAGTGCAACTTTGAAGAATGAAGAATTGGAGAAGCTCTTGACTCTCTTGAGGCTACATAAGAGAGTCATTGGCTATTCTCTTGATGATCTCATTGGCATAAACGCATCCGTTTGCATGCACCGCATTAACCTAGAAGAAGATCATAAGCCAACCGTGGAGAATCAAAGGCGAATCAACCCGCATATGAGGGATGTGGTAAAGAAGGAGGTCCTCAAACTCCTTGATGCTGGTATAATCTTTCCAATCTCTGACAGTAAGTGGGTAAGTCCGGTCCACGTTGTGCCCAAAGAGGGCGGCTTCACCGTGGTCACCAATGAAAACAATGAATCTATGCCAACAAGATTGATCACGGGGTGGCGCATGTGTGTGGACTACCGGAAGCTTAATAAAGTGACCAAAAAAGACCATTATCCCTTACCTTTCATTGACCAACTATTAGAAAGGATGGCCAATCATTCTAATTTTTGCTTTTTAGATGGGTTCTCGGGCTATTACCAAATCATGGTACACCAGAGGACCAAGAAAAAACAACTTTTACTTGTCCTTACGGGCCATTTGCTTTTAGAAGAATGCCTTTCGGGTTGTGTAATGCCCCGGGAACCTTTCAACGTTGCATGATGGCCATTTTTTCCGATCTTGTTGAAGAGGTAATGGAAGTTTTCATGGATGACTTTTCGGTCTATGGCACCTCTTTCGCGCATTGTCTAGCCAATTTGGCTAAGGTTTTACAAAGGTGCCAAGACTTGAATTTGGTTCTTAATTGGGAAAAATGTCAATTCATGGTGACGGAGGGGATTGTCTTAGGCCATAAAGTCTTGAAAAAAGGTATAGAAGTCGACCCGGCCAAGATCGAGGTTATTGAGAAACTTCCTCCTCCTACATGCCAAAGTAGCTAAACCCCTCACTCACCTTCTTTCTAAAGATGTTGTTTTTGAATTCAATGATGCTTGTCTTGAAGCTTTTTGTAGGTTAAAAAGAGCACTTTGCACGGCACTGGTTATACAATCACCCAATTGGAACTTTCCCTTCATCCTTTTGTGTGATGCTAGTGATTATGCCGTAGGGGCAATGCTTGGGCAAAAGCGAAACAACATCATCCATGCAATCTACTATGCAAGTCACACATTAGATGAAGCGCAAGTCAATTATGCTACTACCGAAAAGGAGCTTCTTGCGGTTGTCTTCTCCATGGAAAAGTTTCGCTCTTATTTGGTAGGGAGCAAGGTGATTGTATACACCGACCATGCCGCACTCAAATACCTCTTTGCAAAGAAAGAGGCCAAACCTCGACTCATCCGGTGGGTGCTACTTCTCCAAGAATTTGACATGGAGATCTGAGACAAGAAAGGGAGTGACAACGTGATTGCGGATCATTTGTCAAGAATTGAAGATCACTCCCATGAGGAGAGTAAGTCACTCCCTATCAACGACACTTTCATTGGAGAATCCCTTTACATTGCACAAGGAGTTATGCCTTGGTTTGCCGACCTAGTCAACTACCTTGTGAGTAATCACTTGCCACCGGACCTCTCTCATGCACAAAAGAAACGGTTCTTCCATGAGGTGAAGACTTACTATTGGGATGAGCCTTTGTTATTTAAACAATGTGGAGATGGAATAGTGCGAAGGTGCATCCCCGATGATGAATTTGAAAAAGTCCTCACCCATTGCCATTCTTCTCCTTATGGTGGACATTTTGGTGCACATAGAACATCATCAAAGGTTCTTCAATGTGGCTTCTTTTGGCCAACACTCTTCAAGGATGCTCAAGAGTTTGTGAGGCGGTGTGATAGATGTCAACGGACCGGTACCATTGGAAGAAGGCATGAAATGCCTCAATCCAACACATAGTTATCAAGACGTCGCCTAAGCGTCGCCTAGGCGTCTGGGCGAGATATTGGGGACGCCAGATTGGTCGCCTAGCTTTTTCCGCCTAGAATTTGAGTTGTCATCTATTAAAACGCATGCGACAGGTCACCTGGAACGATCTGAATCGCAGCAAAGATCCGGAAATTGAAGATATGGTAAAAATGTGAATTCCAATCGTATAATCGTCCAATTTAGGCACGATTCGATCTTTGAAGATGCGATGCGGGTCGGGCGAGGAAGTGAATTTGCTTGCTTTTCGTCGGCTTAATTAAGAGATTGATGAGTAATTGCCGGCTACTCGCGGGTTACGACTTACGACCCATTAAAAAGTAAAAGGAACAAGACTTTGTGGGTTGGGTCGGGTAGTTCATACGCCTAAATTTATTTTAGAAAACCTAAATGGGTAGTGGGGGTACTGTATACTGGGAACTTTTCTAAAAATTACGGAGTAAAAGAAACAAGACTTTGTGGGTATTGTATCTGCCCTTAATTCATTTATGGAGATGGAGTAGTGGGGGTACTGTACTGGGAACTATTCTGAATATTGCAATTTCTAATTACTCGTACTATTCTATACCTAAAGGTTTTTTTCTTCATTTCGTTTGGTATCTGACTTGATGAGTTGCTGCTTTGAATTTTTTTATACTCCCTATTTATATATTATCAACATTTTGGTACTTATTTTTTTAGTATCACTGTACTATTTAATCATTTTATTTATTTATTTCATACTATGGGTGTTTACATTAGTACCTAAAAAATTATCAATATTGACATATTCCACTCGCCCAAGGGACGCCTAGGCGGGCGCCTAATCGCCTAGTCGTCTGGAAGGTGGTCTAGCGCCCGGCCTCGCCTAGTCGCCGTAACAACTATGATCCTGCATCTTTGAAGTGGAGTTATTTGATTTATGGGGACTTGATTTTATGGGACCATTCCCGAGTTCTTGCAACAACTCATTCATCCTTGTAGCGGTTGATTATGTATCTAAATGGGTTGAGGCGATTGCTAGTCCCACAAATGATTCAAAGGTTGTCATTCGCTTCTTGAAAAAGTTCATACTCACTCGCTTCGGAGTTCCGAGAGCTCTTATCACGGATAATGGATCCCATTTTTGCAATAAACCACTTGAAAAGGTGCTACACCAGTATGGAATTCATCACAAGGTTGCCACACCATATCATTCTCAAACAAGTGGCCAAGATGAACTTTCCAACCGTGAGATAAAGAGCATATTGGAAAAAGTGGTGAATCCTTCAAGAAAAAATTGGGCTTTGAAGTTAGATGATGCTTTATGGGCTTACCGAACCACCTTCAAGACACCCATTGGCACTTCACCATTTAAATTAGTCTTTGGGAAGGCTTGCCACCTTCCGGTAGAGCTCACTCACAAAGCAGAATGGGCCATTCGCACATTGAATCTTGACTTGAAGCTTGCTGAAGAGAAGCGGTTGCTACAACTTAATGAGCTTGAGGAGTTCCGGTTGAATGCCTTTGAGAATGCCTCCATTTATAAAGAAAGAACAAAAAAGTGGCATGATAAGAGGATTCTACGCAGGGATTTTCATCCAGGGGATAATGTTCTTCTATTCAACTCAAGACGCAAGCTTTTCCCTGGAAAGCTCAAGTCTCGGTGGTCCGGCCCCTTTCAAGTAGTGAAGAGTTTTCCCTCCGGTGCCATTACAATATCCGACAAAGGGAGGAAATTTATGGTGAATGGTCAACGCTTAAAACATTACATTGAGGGAGCACCACTCGAAGGCAAATCAATCCTTAGGCTTGAAGAGCCTATTTATTCTTGATCTTCATGGAGGTATCGTCGAGCTAGTGACGTTAAAGAAGCGCTTCTTGGGAGGCAACCCAAGTGTATTTCACGTTTTCTTATCCTCTTTCCCCTTCCCCCATTCTTGCATTTACATGTTTACTTTTCTTTTTTCTCATTTACTTTCATTTCATTCAATAAGATGTTCCTCTCTTATGATTATTGTGCTTCACCACTTTTCCATGCTTTGTTTTGGAATTTAATCTGTTAATTCAGGGGAAGTTGAATGTTGAGAAGCAGATATTTTTGGCCTGGTTCTATGCTTTGAGGATCATTTTTGGGATAAGATTTTGTGTGATGTGCTTACTTTGGACTCACTTGATTTTCATGGATCATGACAACACACATTGTCCCACTTCTCTCACAAGCTTACTGAGTTTGCTTTTCTCTTCCCTTTTGCTTCATGCTTGGTTTATGTGGGGATGCCCTGACGTTTAATTGCATATGTGTGAGGGAGAATATGATCATGTGCTTGTGAAGTTGTGTGTTGAGTTGCTTTGTTTATAGTTGTTGCCACGATATCATATGAGTTGAGTTCTGTTAATTTGGTCCCTTCCCGCCCACCCATGATCATAGTTGTTTTGTGTGTTGTTCACCCTCTTTGCTCCCTTGTGATTCGTTTCTCTTGACACCGAGGACAATGTGTCAACTTAAGTGTGGGGGGAGTAATCAGAACTTTGGCATTTGAGCTTGTGTGGAATTTGTTGTTAACTTGTGTCATGTGGTGATACTCGTATATGTTGGTGAATGTTTGCTTAGACTTGTGCAAGAGAGTTTCTTTAATGTTTCTTTGTGTTTTGAAATCTTTTGAGAATCACCGTTTTGACCCATGAGTGTTAGAGCTACATTGCGCACACACCCACACCTTGAGGCACAAAGTGATTGAGGCACAAATACAATTCCACTCCATTCCCCATTTCCCCCATGACCTTCACTTAGCCATATTACCCATTTTCTTACCCGGAAAGAATTCTTTGTGTTGATTTTGCTTAATGGAGAGCTCTTGGTTGGGAATATTTTTATTGATGCTTGTTGATTGGTTATTTGCTTTAGTTGAGCCTTGATAGGCGTATGATTGCAAAGGGATGATCTTGGCTTTGTCTCATGTGCTACCTTATCATGCACACATTTCCATGGCGGGGGACTAGTATCGCACCATTAAACAACACCGGTGGATATGCAATCTCATGTGTGTATGCTTTGGTAGCATCAACTCTTGTATTGCTATGCACATTTACCCTTTTCGGGATTTGTAAATAAAAAGATGAAATGAATAAGTGCGCAATTGAGTAATGAGACATACGTGCTTTTGCTTGCATTTTTAGAGTATACCTCAACGGAGGGTCAGGCTCCGGAATGTACCTTGTTTCGCCCAAAACGCATGACCACTAGATGATTCTCTCCTAAGGTGGATTCCTTGAAGCTTGTATCACATCTTTTCATCGACCTTGACTTCTCTTGATAGCAGGTTTACACTTTAGATTTCTTTCCTACACCCACAATAACCCTAACCATCCCACTTCATCCATCCCTTACACCTTCATTTCCATTTAGTTCTTTCCATCCACCTCCATCCAATAAAGACCTCTTGATTGTGCTTAGAGGTTAGGTTGTGAGCGAATAAACCATGAGTGAAAATACGAGTGAATGAGCGTCATCTTGTGAGTTGGTGTGATTCTCTTCAGTTTTCATTCCGTAAAGAACCATTTGTGAAGCTTTCTTGAATAGTCTTGGTTTATATTCTTGGCATATGCTAGATTCTTCCATTCGGCACAGGTTGACATCAGTGCACTTCGAGTTCAGTGGTGGCCTTTGTTCTTGATTGCTTGAGGACAAGCAAATATCTAAGTGTGGGGGAGTTGATTAATCTATTATTTGTGCATGTATTGTTATATTTTGTTAGACTTATTGACTCTGTTTTTATATTAAATTGCTTAATCTTGTGTGATATTATAATTTTGGAGTGATTTCTGTTTATGGTTTGATTTTGGAGTCCAATTATAAGGGAAGGACCTATTAACAAACTTATTAGATAAATGGGGTCTATTTTATAATTTGAAAAAGTTTATTTGGATAGATAGGAGGTTGGACCAGAGGCTGGAAAAAGGAGGGACGGACGGGACAGAAACTAGGGCTTTCTATCTGAGACAACCGACAGAGGCGAGACGAGGGACTGTCTTCTTCGATTGACGCTGAGGACCAGAGGCTCGGATAGACGCTGGGACTGGGCAGACGAGGTCTGCTCGGTAACCTTCGATCGACGACGGCGCTAGGAAGAAGCGGTAGACGGAGGCGACGACGGAGCACAGCAGCGGCACCTCAGCTGCTCCTTCTTCGACGAGCGTCCAGCCATCGGAAACGGCGACCTGGGATTGTGATTTCTACGGCGAATCTAAGCTCTAGCCTGGTTCAATTCACTCCCACTTTTTCCTCCTAAATCTAAGCTTTAGCACTATTTTCTTTAGATTTGTTCACTCTACTTTTGTATTCACTTGTTAGATTATTTCTCTTTAATATTTGTGTTCTTTTCTTATGGTTGTGTTTCTTGACATCATGAGTGGCTAGATATCTAGACTTGGGTGTTGGATTGTTTAAGTGTTTGATGATTATTATGCTTTGATTCTTCATTTGTAGGATTATTTGTGGATAAATCCTAAGTAGTTTGTGATAGAGGATTATTTCCCTAATTGTTTGTGTACCAAACAATGTGTGGTTTTGGAAATGAGTTTTAAATCATCAAGGAATTGGGTTTTAGAATTCTAGTCTTAGTTCTTCACTCTCAATGCATTTCATGGAAGTGGTTATGAATTTGAGGAGTCTCGTTTTACTTGGATATTGTCTTGGTTGAACTACCAAGGAATTGGAGATCAACATAGATGGTTTATTTCTTTTGCCATGAAAATGGAAAAGAAATCTTTGTTAGACTCACTACTTGTTTTGATTTCCCTAATGATTCCCTTTCTTTTTAGGCATGCCATCAAACACTTATCCTCCAACACCCAAATCACTTTCTCAATCATTTATTTCTAATCTTTAGTTATAGCTTTTGTTCTTTTGATCTTTGACTCTTCAACCACTTTTTAGACTTAGATTCACTATTATTAGTAGCTCAATTAGTGCTTGATTGGCTAAGTACTTGATTCCCTTATAGCTATCCTCTACTGGAACGACAAAAATACTTACCACTTTTACCACATAATAATTCAACAAAAAGTCCTCAAATCACTGATATAGCCACCGAACATGCCCCGCCTTGTCAGTCCACCCGCACCCGTCGTCTTCCCTCCCATCTTGTTGACTTCATTTGTCATTCCGCTCAAGTCACTCCGTCGGCGCTTTCTCCTGTCCCATCTTTAAATTCCGGTACACGGTTCCCTATTACTGACTTTGTTATGATAGATTACATGATAGGTATAAAGGTTTTCTAGGTGCAGTCCGGACTTGCACCGAACCCAAGACATTTCGAGAGGTTGTCAAATCGGCTTCCTGGCGTGATGCAATGGCTAAGGAACTATTAGCTCTGGAGAAAAATAATACATGGGAAATCATGGACCTTCCCCCGAATCGTCATGCCTTGGGATGACAGTGGGTCTATTGTACTAAATATAACTCTGACGGCTCCAAAGAATGGGATAAAGCAAGGTTAGTTGTTCTTGGTAATCATCAGGAATTTGGAATTGATTATACTAATACTTTTGCTCCTGTTGCAAAATTGGCTACGGTTTGTATATTGTTGCCCGTCGCTGTGGCTAGGTCTTGGGAAGTTCATCAACTGGATGTAAACAATGCATTTATACATGGTGATCTCATTGAGGAAGTTTACATGAAACTACCCTCGGGGTATATTGGTGCATATCCCGGGAAAGTATGCTGTCTGCGAAAGTCTTTATATGGTCTCCGGACAGTCTCCTAGAAATTGGTTTGCCAAGCTTCGTCTGGCCCTGCGATCTTATGGGTTTCGACAAGCACACACCGATCATACGTTGTTTGTGTGGGTCCATGGCCCGGATATGTTAGTTGTTCTAATCTATGTTGATGATATTCTGGTTGCTGGTAATAACTCTTCAGTTTGTTCCTCCTTTAAAAAGTACTTGAATGTTTGCTTTCAGTTCAAAGATCTTGGTCCAATCTCTTATTTTCTTGGAATAGAATGTGCTACATCTACGGACGGCCTGGTCTTAAGCCAGAGGAAATATGCATTAGACATTATTCAGGAGGCAAGTTTGACCGGGTGTAAGCCAGTCGCTACTCCTATTCAGCCCGGACACGATTTGGCTATGTCTCAAAGTGTAGAGATCCGAGATCCCACAAAGTACTGAAGACTTGTTGGGTGTGTACTATATCTCACTATTACTCGTCCGGATATATGCTTCTGTGTTCATGATTTATCTCAGTTTATGCAAGCCCCACGCTTAGATAATGTACAGGCCGCAATGCGTTTGATCAGATACTTGAAGGGACATCCTGGATAGGGAATTCTTTTACGTAGCGAAAGCAACTTGGCTCTTACGGCATTTTCTGATTCAGATTGGGCAAGTTGCCCCCTCACTCGTTGCTCGGTTACGAGATATTTTGTCTTGTTGGGAGGCTCACCTATCTCATGGCGTACGAAAAGCAGACTACTGTTTCACGTTCTTCGGCTGAAGCAGAATATAGAGCCATGGAAAATGCATGCAACGAAATTCGTTGGATACGTGGTGTTTTGGCCGCTTTGTTGGTACGTTGTGTCACAATACCACGACTATACTGTGACAACAAGTCCGCTCTGTTTATTGATGCGAATCCTGTTTTTCACGAGCGCTCTAAGCATATTGATATTGATTGTCATATTGTCTGTGAATGCATTGACCGCAAACATGTTATTACTGCTTATGTGCTTACGAAGCTCCAGATGGCTGACATCTTTACAAAAGCAGTAGCGGGTCCCTTATTCCAATTTTTATTATCCAAGTTGGGCATTATTGATCTTCATACTCCAACTTGAGGGGGAGTATTGGAGAATATTGTGTTTTTATAGAGAATATTTTGTATTAATTGTAGATCCTTTATTTTAGGTAGGTGCCTTGTATAGTGATTTACCATACTTAGTATTGTAAACCCGATTGTATAAATACGGATCAAGGGTCATTACATGAGGCAAGCAATTATTTACTAAAATTCAATAAGTGAGGAACTTAGGGATGTACTCTTTGTATTTACATTTGTCAAATTCTATGACTATTTTTCTTCTAAAGGAATCCCAATTCCAAAGCTATTTGATTTCATTTTTTGGGATCCTTTTTTAGGATAGTGATATAGAGCCTGTTTGGGAATAACGTTAACGATTAGCGTTAGCGTTTTCAAAGTAATCTGCACCGTTAAAATTTATCCAAAACGCTAACGCTAATCTCTAATGCTATTCCTAAACAGGCCCATAAAATTATGGTCAAAACCATTTCTTTTAATAGTTTGTGAAAATGCAATAAATATTAAAATACTTCAGATATGAGTGAGAGTTTACTATTCTCCAAGAAAACTACAGATATGAGTGAGAGTTTACAAAAATATACATAAGACTGTTTAAAATTTATTGATATTTAACTGAAAGCCCATCATAAGATCTAAGAATGCATGGATGAATACAGGAAATTGTTATAATAAAAATGTACTCCGTAAATAAAAGATAAAGAGATTGAAAGATCCATTGAAATAAAACTCAAAATAAAAATATTAGCCAAAATGTACATGTCTGAAGAAGATCGATGAAAATTTAACCTCTCTGCGCATCTCAGATTGGGAAATAGGGTTACTAACCTCAATCAAGGGACATGTATCATCTTCGTCCATGAAAGAGAGAGATTGTCGAAAAAACCGATGTCATCAATACCGGGGATGAGTTGCTCTCAACCGAGAGAGAGAGGAGCTAGATATCCCGCAATAGATATAGCCTACCAGAGGGGCAAAAAAGCATAGGTTTTGGGTAGGTTAGGGTGGACGGTAGGTTTAGGGTTGATTTGCAGTATAGAACGGGCAAAAATAACAACTAAAAAGAATCCCTTGTAAGTAGGGTGTCGAACCTCAGGGAGACGCGAGTTAATTTAATTTAAACAAAAGTTTACAAAAGAAGTTGTAAAATATTTTGGTCTTTTTGGTTTTAGAGATAAAATAAAAAGTGTAAAAGAAGAGAGTTCCAAACAACACAAAGTTTTTGATGATAAAAAGTTAGGGGTAGAAATTGGTAAATTAATTGTCCAATGTTTTTATAAAAGTTGGATTGTCAATTTATTTTTATATAGAATGTGTGGAGTTGCAGAAAAGTATTTAGGGACGCTCTCGCAAATCACCTAAATAATAACTACTCCGACTTTAACACGCTAATGATAAATCCGGAGTAATTATATAGTAGCAACGG